TATATAGCAACCAATATAAAGATACGAACCAGCGGGCTAAAATTTTACTCCAGTTCTGAAATGAGACGGAGCGAGCATGGCAAGCTAAGGGAACTCGCGTCGAGGAAATACGGAATTAAAACTTGTTGTTGGCCTAGTTGGTTCATGATTCAGTAAGGAGGTTTTTTTGCGCGACACAGGGGACAAGTACAAGCGAGTAGACACGGACAAGCGCAAACTTTCAACTACTTTATTCGTGCGCAATCGACCACGAACATCCAGAAAGAGCATGCGCAGCACGCTACACAGACGAGAAAAAAACCGAAAATAGATAGTAAAGTCATCCACCAAGACACATTCCACGATAGTCATTATCGAACCAGCAACCCGGATAAAAACTGCACTTCACTTTCAAACAAAGAAACCGAGGTATCGCTGACACAGTCATGGTTCTTCTTTATATAAAAAGCTTCCATCAATTCTCTGGCTGTGCTGTCTTTGCTTCTACCCAAGATCCTAATCTCCCGAAATCGCGCATCACACCCACAGTCGGCACAGTGAGTAGGCAAGTGTGCATTGCCTTTTCGACATTTTCCCTTTTTATGAACGGAACGGATCTTGATCCTTCCCCTCTCATCCTGTCTAAAACTTTTTTTTTTTTTTTTTTTTTTTTACCAAGGACTTGATTATTTTGGCGAATGGCAGCTCTGTTTTGAAAATACTTCTTTTCTTCTTTTCTAATAACTATATTTTTAACATAACCAATTTCTAACCTTCAAGTTCCTTCCCAGTGTGAGGGTTTAAACATCACGAATAAAACGCACCAGCTCGCCTGCTCTTTGACCCTTTTTTTTTGTGCTGTGTTCGTGTCTTTCTGCAGAGTTGTGTTTCATATACCGAGCAGCGACTTATACCCAGCACTGACCTATGGAACGAGCTCAAAGGAGGCTCATCAGAGGTCTGATGCATGTTGAATGTGTCGAATTGCCGGGATTCTATGTGAACTTAATTAATGAATGTGTTTACAGTGTCAGATAATTAAAATATGCACTTGGGCACAAACAAAAATATTACGACAGCTTTATGAAACTTAAGAGAAATCGAGGCCGCGGGCTGCGGAATAATTCTTTCGCTAACCACAAGCAGACACATAAAAGAGTAACAATTGAAAATCAGCGTGTTTGCGAATAGATACGAATACTTGAAGGGGTCCTAGGTGTTTTATCCTTTCAAGTATTTGTACACAAGAGAGTTTTAGTGAGCAAGTGCATGAGAACTACACTCTGGAAATACCCCAGTGTTCTCCTATTGAGTGGCCGACGTGCACTGGCACGTTATAAAGGAGACGGTGCGGCATGTGCGGCGCCTCAACCATCTCGGTACAACAGGCCAACAACAGGTTCCAACATTGCCATTACGGCACATAGAGTTACGAGATGACACGGAGCTTTTGAAAAGAAACCTGAACTATCGAAGCAAGCATGTCAAATCCTTAGAAAATTATACATTACAGACTCGTGTCCCGTTAAAGGAACCGTAATAAAAACTTTTGGTAGATCGTCCGGTAGAACCAGGACCCCACTTGGCACTCCCGTGGGGAAGCTCAGTGCGTATCTATGGTGGCTAGCGTATCTTCGGTGCCTGTTGGAGGTAGGTGCCCATGGCTGATGCCATGCCATTCACGAAGTAGTTGAATGCGTTTAAAAGTTAGTAGGTTTTAAGTCTCTCAAGTATACGGACCCACGATACCTTCGGTAGATATGTAATTTCTTTGAGGAACTAGTGGTCATTCTTTTCATCCAAGGGATCAAGAAAGCATGTCGACCCCGTACAAGTAAATTTCAGGAGGCACCACGGTTGGTCCTTGGCGGTGGAATTTCTAAAGTTCTTCACTGCGGGTCCTCACAAAGATTTTTTTTAAACTTTCAGCAATGGTGGTATCACGGGTTGAGAGTCGCAGTCCCTGGATGATCGGCTTCACAATAAGGATGCTTGCCTACAGCTTTCTGACATGAAAAATTAAAGTTCTAACACTGCTCGTATATAGCAAAACTAGAATTACTCGCGCGTCGCAGGCCTAACCTTATGCTGCTGTTCTGCGACGATCATCCAGATGACAGCCATTTTGATTGGCACCAGGGGTGCTATGTTGCGCTTTTTGGACTCCCAGGAGACTAGGGAGAAGGAAGTGACGTCAACGACTAGAGCAAACGCAGATTGGATGTTGACAGAAGAAAACGAAATCAACACCCAATCTGCGTTTGCTGTGTCGTTGAGGTCACTTCCTTCTCCCTAGTCTCCTAGGAGTCCAAAAAGCGCAACATAGCACCCCAGGTCACACCCTGTGCGGGGTGCCAGTTCGCTTGCTTCTTTCACAGGGGATGCAATGATGTCAGAACGCCAAGAATTTATTGGCTGATTGAAAAAAAAAAAAAAAAATAGCGGGTAGACCTTAAGGCATCTAGCATTGAGGTCTACCCACTATCCTTTCAATCAAAGCTAATCCGAGCTCTGCGTCGTCCTGAAGTCACCGCCTCCTGCTCCTGCGTAAAAAGCAGACGACTTGCTCTCCACATAGGTCGTGAAAGTTGCAAATAGCCAACCAAAATCATAACACCCCCCCTCCCCCGGGAAGTTCGCCCACTTCGCTTTTGTTTACCTCTGAACACCAGGCACCAGGCCCCAGCATGCGGCTGCAGTGATGCTGAGCTCCCCGCGTAAAAGGCAAGTGAATTCCCAAATCGGCGCGGATCTCTGGGTGTTATACATGCCTTGCGCCTGACGTCACACCGCGATGCCCCGCCCCCGATCGCCATTGCTCAGTACCACCGGAGGACCGGAGAAGCTACAAAGCGTAGTCGACGGCGTGTTTCGTCCGACCGTGACGCGTTTATTCAGTTTGAGAGCATAGGTTTTTCTTTTTTTTTGTGTTTGTTGTTTTTCGAACAATTTGTAAACAAATCGTTTTAATCTATTTTTACCAGCGCCTACGGGCTAAATATGCCGTCGCCGGGGGAGCGGACGTTGCCGCTCTGCGGAGATTTCTTCGACGTGCTCGTTGGGCCTACGAGAGCGAGATACGCGAAGGAGGTGGAACTTTGCGACGGCGAGGATCCCTACAAACTTCGCGTCGGCGTGGACACGACATTCGACGCCGCCTTTTTACCTAACGTAACTCGCTGAGCCTCGAGCGCTGCGACTCGAGGCTGAGCGATCTCCTTCGTCCGTCTAACCGAGCTTCAAACTCGGCGCCCAGTCAGGGTTCGTGTCATCGAACAACTTAAAAGGAGCTCCTGTAAAACAAAGAAAAAAAAACGCCATTCGCTGACGCGCTCACGTTCGCGAAACTCGGCGCAGCAGACAATACTGCGCCGAGTTTTACATTCAATTTTGCGACAGCAACCGGGTGAACGCGTCCCGAAAACGGAGAACGACAATAAGCATTTCTTCCCTGTAACAAAGTGCTCGCTGCACACCTGTGAGTTCACGTTCGCGACCAGGTCGGCCCTGTTAATCTTCGCAAACCACATGCTCCTTCGCTTCTTTGACAGTTCGTGTGTCCGCCGACACTGAGCGGAGATCACCTTCGGTAGTTTTAAAAATCTCGCATCACTGACGGTTTTACGATCACGATGCTTGTTGCTCTTAGTCCTGTTTGCACAATTAATAACCGCACATGCAACCATCTACGTAGCGAAACCTTCGCTCAGCGAGGCAAACTGACGGCAACTCCAAGGAACTTCCTATGCAGCGATGACGATTTGGTACGGCGCAATGGCGACAGCCCTCCCAGTATGCAATTTTAATGACGTAGGTGCAAGGCATGTGTTCATCGCGTCCGACAGTGACCGCCTGACGGATACTGAACTGAATTGAATCGGCTCGACAGAAATCGCCGCCTGTTAAGTCGGAACGCTCTTCAATTGCCGCATGCTCGCCAAACAGCTACCGGATCGATCAATCCCCCCGCCATAACTTGAAAATCGCTTTTATGAATGGATAAAAAAGGAAGCTTTTATTCAAGGAGTGGATAAATTAATGAATGCACAACAGCTGTTGACAATGGATTGGTCGGTGTCTTGCGCCACCTGGCAAGCGAATACATTTCTTTTTACCTAATTGTTCTGCGCCAATTTAATGTTAACGCTTTGCCTTTCCTGTGATAGTAGCCAAGCCTATAAAAAGTTTAATTTTTTTACTTAGTTTGTAGTACGTTCCGATGTGAATGTTTGTTGTGAAGGCTGCTGGCAAGGCAAGCCAAGCGAGGCCAGACCTGGCCAAATCGCCAAAGTAGCGTAGAGTGCCTTCATACACACGCGCGCTTTTGCTAGAGTAGCGCAATCTAGAACGCCGTCTCTCTGCGACTAGCGGCGAACACCCGGAGGTTCCAACTGCGGTCAAAAATGCATGGAGAACGTGAGAAAATCGTTGTTTCTTCAGTTTTGTGGGGATGTGCGGAATGGAAATCATTTTTGACATAATAATGAAACATTTTAGAATAATATGCGATAAGTTTTGTGCCATACAAGGACGTAACTTTTTTTTTTTTTTAAAATTGCCTGAGCGGCATCATGCAGCAGACGACACGGTGACGTCACACCGTTCACGTGACCCGCTCCGGCCAACCCGAAAAGCCCATCTCCGCAGCGAGCAAAACTCGTCTGCTTCAAACGCCATTGCCTTGGAAATTGCCTTCTCAAAATTTGCACAGGCATCCGATATTATTAAAACTTCGATAAAGTGTTTAGCGCTTTACTAACTTCACGACAGGCTAGTTTTGAAAAATGTGAACTCGCCGTTAGTTTTTTAATCAGCCGTGTTATGTCGATCTCCATGTATTCTCCCATAGGGCGGGCCGCCTCCTGGAACCCTGAGTACCACGTGACTCGCGCCGAGCCGCTCTGTCGGCCATGTTGTCGGCATAACACGGGGTTCAAAGGATTGCGCTACTCTGCTCCGTAGGAGCTATATAGGCTATATAGTGCTCTATAAAAGCCAAGCTGGCCAAGCCAAGCCAGCCAGGGTTGTTTGGGCCAGTTTGGCGGGTTTGGTGCTAGCGGTGAGGGTCACTGATCTATGTTGCAGGTGCTTGGCTTGGTGTCTCGACGTCTCGACCGTTTGGGACTTCTGACCACTTTGTTTTGTACGCTCTGAACTTTGGACGCCTGAAGAAGTCGTGAAACGTTCGCCCGTTCCGTGGTCCCTACGGTTCGGTGGAGCTGGGGCGAGATCTGACGCAGCTGAACACACGTCTTTTCTAATGGAGCAGTTTACGGAGCAGGGTAAGCGACCAGGGTCGAAAGCTGCGGTTGCCAAACAATACACCACGGGTTGTCCAAGGGACCGTGGTCTCCAAACAATGTACCGCGGGGGTGTTGCACGATCGCCACGCGTGCAAAATCCCCGTCGCAAAAGCCCCGCGTCTAGAAAACGGCGCTCAATTACCCCGTTTTCATGATCCTCGCTTGTCCAAAATCCCGCGTTCAGCGATCCCAGGGGTGCTATGTTGCGCTTTATGCACTCCCAGGAGACTTGGAAGAAGGAAGTGGCGTCAACTAGAGCAAACGCAGATTGGATGTTGACAGAAGAAAACAAAATCAACATCCAAGCTGCATTTGCTGCGTTGTTGACGTCACTTCCTTCTCCCTAGTCTCCTGGGAGTGCAAAAAGCGCAACATAGCCCCCCAGTTCTTATGCGGAGCGCAGTTTCTGCTGCTTTGGCAGAGGTGGTGACGTCGGGACGCTGAGTAGTTCTGACAGGCTGCGATTAAAGTTTAGTGGGAGACATCAAGGCAGCTTGCTGTGAAGTCTACCCACTATCCTTCGATCAGAGCCAATCAGAGCTCGGCGTTCTGACGTGACTACAACCCCTGTAAAGGAAGCAGACGAACTTGCGCTCTGGATCCCCGCATGCCAAAAGCACCGTCTTCACTTTCTTGTCTCTTTCGGGTCTACTCAACAACTGGCGAGTCGTAAAAAAAGCCTGGTGATATTGTATGGGTGGCCAAAATGTACTCAGTTTTCATGGTGGTAGTTCATATGTAAAAGGTCAAAGATGTGCTTGTCATGATTGCCCGGGATTGCGGACAAAGGGTCGAGGCATCCGCCGAGAGAAGAGACAGCCTGGTGATTTGTGGACAATGACTGGCTGCGAGCGGCTGTGCTCGTCAGCGTTTATTTAATACGAGTGATCAATGTTGCCTGCCGAGCCTGGCGGGCCTACGAAGGTTAGGCCGGAAGGGAGCGCCACATGATTGTCCCAGTGCTCCACCTTGAATATAACAAAATGATCAGTTTTCAATAGACCCTTTTCTGCACCATCTAGTAGCTGCTGTGCCAATACCTTAGTCTGTCATTCTTTGGTCATTAACTCTGAGCATATATACATGCCTTGCACGTGATGTCGCACCAGGGGAAAGGACCCTGCACCATGCTGTGGTTGACGTGACACCTCGGAGATGCGCTTCCCGAAGGCGTAGGATGCCGCTAACTGCCCGGACATGCGCTAACATGCACCATATTTTCGACAAAGATACCTTTCTTTTGACGTGTGAATTTGAAAGAACTGTTGAGCTTAAGTTGATAATGTTCAGCCAGTACTTGCAGAAGTTTTTGGCGTTGGTGCGATGCCACTACGAATATAGTTTTGACACGAAGGGGTGTTGGGTTGGGACAAGCGGCTCGCGGTAAAGTGGTTCAGATTTCTCAAAGTAGTGGGTATCTAACATAAGTTTATTGTGTTGTAGACGGCACAAGCCAATGCCCCGGCGGCGGCGTGTTGGCAAGCGTGCACTCGGGGCCGCTGCCGACCAATTGCCGCCTGTCTGGGCTCGCGGTGCGACACGCTCGCCCATACTCGGCGAGGGAGCCCCAAAGGTGCGCTCGAAGCGTAGAAACGGTTGGATGAAGGTGAACTTTAAAGGGCATGCACATCATGAACAGGTCAAGCTGACGCAAAGGCGTGCGCAAACAGACACAACAGTACAAAAGTGCTGTCACTCGCCGCTATGAAATGCGTCCCTCAAACTCGGTACCGTACGACCGCATCCCTTCCCTGCCACTTGTAGTTTCTAACTTGACAGCTACTCTGTCGCGGAGCATGCCGATAAAACAATCTTTGCGACATGTATACTGCCACAGCCCAACGTGGCTCAGTTTACCAAGGCTTTCATTGCAATTGGCCTTCATATAGACCGCCAACATGGTGGCTGCCGGTGTTCGACATAATCTTGGGACGTAGGTCCAAGGCACATGCTGGAGACGAGGGTTGCGTCGGTGTTCGGAGTGAACTCAGCTTGGCCCGCATCAAATACGACTGCGGCGTTGACGTTCGGGGAGGACTCTGATCCAATCGCATGCTTCATACCCAAGAAATAGTGACTTTCAATATTGCTTGGTGGACTCTTTGGAGAGAATATATTGCAGGAAGATAAAGCACATTCCTAAAACAGTGCCCTCATACATCTTCGCTTTTGTAGATCTCAAGAAAGATGAGGCCGGAAGCCAAGTATGCGCCTTGAGATTGAACCGTGTCACCACCATGCAGCCGAAATTTGAAACATGCGAAAGCGGGGACACCACCTTGGGTTGTCTGCTATGGGCGCACGTTTAGAAGTATGGATCTCGAAAACGCAAGCGCGCTTCCGGCTGAGCTGGACCCCCTTATGAAATGTTTATTGTTTCTATTGTCATTTCTTCTTACTAAAAGTTGTGCTGTGTCGTTTCACACGTGTGGACATTCAGCAAAGATATTAATATTAAGTGGTATGCTACCATAAGTTTAGTTTTGTGGTTTGTGGAACCGCTGGTTCCACATATTTCTTTTATCTCGCCACAATCCATAGCAATTTATCCATATCTTTATTGTTTTCTAAGACTAATAGCAAATGTCATGCATCATAAAAATAGTATCAATACATATCTTTATGTTGTCCAGAAGTTACACACACGTATGGACGGCGTGCGTGCCATCCGTGCGTGTGGGCGTGCAGCCGAGCAGCCACGTGGTGCGGGCGCGGCCTCCGGGGCCTTTGCCCATGTGTGCATTGCTACCGAAGCGAGGTGTTGAGGCTTCGTCGTGCGTGTGGTTAGCTTGGTTCGAGGCATTTTAGTGCGAGCTTATGTGCATCGAAGGGGACAAGTGCGAGCCAACCGCTCCGTACGTTGTTGACTTGCGCGCAAGCGCGCAATCTCACTTGTGAGGAAAGGGAAAACATGCATTAGTCCCAGTAATGACAAACATACTGAGAGCGTTCAATCGAGGAAACTGGGTAAAAGATTCCAGAAACACTTTATTCCATGACAAATAAAACAGTAGCCAATGCACAGATGCCACTCGTCCACGAGATCACCGATGAACAGGAAGCCCTTCTTGCGGCAGAACTCCTGGAGGAGCCAGTTCACATCTCTGTGCCGATCATTCAACGCCTGGTCTCGGCACTCTGACTACGCTGACACTCCTATGAAGAGAACCTGTTCTTCTGCCTCTGAAGGACGGAAGAAAAGGCGATTGCACCAAGGTCTGAGCGGCCAGCCGACGGTACTTGTCAATGTACGCGCTGGCACAAACGCTGATGTTGTTTGTGCCAATGTGCAAAATGACGGCATCAAAATCGAGCAGGGCATCAGATATTGTCTTGGAAAACAAAGCCTCAATCCTAATGCCACTAAACGCCTGCACTTTGACAGCCACCCGGTTATTCAATGGGAAATACTGGGACAAGTATTTCACCATCGAATCCGCGGCAACTACAACTCGAGACATGTCAGAAGTGCGACTGTGTTAATACACAAAGGGCCAAACTCCTTGACCAAAAAAAACAAGAAAAAAAAAATAAAATAAATAACGCTTCAGAGAAAGTCAAACCTGCTTGCGGAAAACCAGGCAGGAACGCAAGGAGCAATGGCTGCTGGCTGCTGAGCACACAGTTGCTGAGCACATGGCAAAATAATGGGAGGCCAGACCGTAGTGACCGTAGGTTGATTTCTGCGTGGACGGAGACGAAATTACAGTGATTAATATAACCTACAGATACATTGATAACAACAATCACAAACCACCCGGACTTTTATTGTGAGACCATCAAAGAACATGAAATCCATAACCGAAACAAAAACAAGTCTTATTAACACACGGTTGTCGATATTCCGGGCATTTTGACAAATCCTTGCTGTCGGAACTAAAATTTGATGATCTGACATCATTTTCGTGCTCACCCGTGCTAGCATCAGCAACAAAAATCTGTTGTATCACTGCAGGTGTGTCCTCGTTGGTAACGATGCAATGTTTCGCAACTGCTGTCTAGCGCACTTTCGACGTCGTCGCAAAGCAGTCGCTGAATTTGCCGAAGAGGTCTCCGAGCAGTCGTCGTTCCGTGGCACTGAGCTTGGGGTTAACGTCGAGCTGCGGCGGCGGTGTACTGTACGGCTGAGATGGCAGATATCGCCCTTTAAAATGGCAGAAATCGCAAGCATGAAAATGTTACTGCAGCCTGACTGTTTTTCTCGATTTGGTGGAGCGCACAACAGATTGCTGCTGCTGCCTCGAAATATCGGAGGCTGGGCACATCTGCCTGGGCAGAAAGTCATCAGTATCATACCTTTGGTAATTTGTTCTCTTTCCTTGGTTTAGATAGGGAATAATGTTGACAGCTTCTCGGTTCTTGCACTGCTTAACTGCTTTGTGACCATGGAGAAAATTCCTGTTTTCCATGGCTTTTTGTTACATTTGTTTCCGGAGCAAACTATTTATGTTTACAATATGATACAATCTATCTAAATGAATGGGCTTTTGAATGATGGAAACATCAAAGTAGAGACTTTAATTCTATTTCACTCTGAAAATCGTCAGATACAATGTTTGTAAAAAAACAATTGGTCTAATACGGGAAAATGAATGGATATATACAGAAAGAAATGTGAAAAAGAAATGTTACTTTTGCGAAAAGGATTTTGATTTACCAAAAGTCAAGTCAACCCTCATAACCGACATGCCATTGGGCTAAACATTTTCTCAATGTGATGAGGCACAGGTCATCAGAACTAAAATGTAGTAATCTGGCTTCACTGTCACTTCACTGCTATCAGAGTCCGAAAAATCGACGGAGGATTTGGGAGAATTGCTACGCATGTGAGCACATACCAGACTGGTGCAAGTGGCCATGGCTGTAACAAATGAGGACTTGCCGTGGGTGCAACGCTTGGCTTCAAAATCACTGCCATGTGGAAAAGGAACAAAAACACTGAAACCAAGGCTGAGTCTTCATACTACCTACGGATTACG